AAGGTATTTCTATTGCCAACTTTCTGATGAAGCACCGTACTGTTTTCCAGAGTGGTTGGACCGTTTTGCATTCCCACCAGCAATGTAGGAGGGTCCCAGTCTCTCCACATCCTCACCAGCATTTATTGTCCTCTGCATTTTTTAACTTCACTGTTTATTACCGGTGTGAGATGATATCTCATTGTTGGTTTGATTTGCATCTCTATTATGGCAAATGATTGTGTCTGTATTACCGTTAGTGAAACTTTACTCATATGGGATATCAAAGATTTGTCCAATGATTTCTGCATTCTGTTGGGTCACCTCTCATTGGAATGGGCACAAATACAGACCTCTTCCAATCAGTTGGCCAGGTAGTTGTCTTCCAAATTTCTTGGCATAAATTAGTGAGTGCTTCCAGAGCCATCACACATTGTTGAAAGATTTCTGTTTGTATTCCATCAATTCCCTGTGCCTTGTTCTTTAACAATTCCTTCAATGCACCTTGGACTTCTTCCTTCAGTTTCATTGGCTCTTGATCACAAGCTACCTCCTGAAGCAGTTGAGCATCAACCATTTCCTTTTGGTCCAGTGACTCTGTGTATTCCTTCCATCTTCTTTTGATGCTTTCTGCATCATTCAATAATTTGCCCAGAGAATTCTTCAGTAACTAAAGTTGAGGCTTGAATTTCTTCTTCAGTTCCCCCAGCTTGAGAAACGCTGAGCGTGTTCTTCCCTTTTGGTTTTCTAACTCCAGATCTTTGCACATTTTCTTATAATATTTGACTTTGTCTTCACGAGCTGACCTTTGAAAATTTCTGTTCAGCTCTTGTACCTCCCGCCTCATGTCTTCCATTTGCTTTAGCATCTTTGCGCTGTAGAGCAAGTTTCAGAGTCTCTTTTGACATCCATTTTTATCTTTTCCTTCTTTCTTGTCTTCTTAATGACTTTTTGCTGTCTTCATGTATGATGTTCCTGATGTCATCCCACAATCCTTCTGGTCTTCAATCTTTAGTGTCTAATGTATTAAATCTGTTATTCAGATGATCTCTACATTCAGTTGGGGTATATTCAAGGTCATATTTTGACTCTCGTGGACTTGTTTTCATTTTTTTCAGCTTCAGTTTGAATTTGCGTATGAGTAATTGATGGTCTGTTCCAGTCTACCCCTGGTCTTGTTTTGTCTGATGATATAGAGCTTTTCCATCTTCTCTTTCCACAGATGTAGTCAATTTGATTTCTATGTATTCCATCTGGCGAGGGCCCCTAAACATGTCTGTATTACGTGGAGTCACTGGGTGGTTTTCTCTTCCCTCCATTCCCCCAATGTCCAGTCACTGCTGCCATCACTGCCCCATGATGCACTGAACCTATAAAAACCAGTTGCCACTGAGTTGATTCTGATTCACGGCGTCCCCGTGTGTGTCAGAGTAGAACTGTGCCCCACAATATTCTCAGTGGATGAGTTTTCATAAGTAGATTCCACTCATGGAGCCCCCACAGGGTTCTCAGTGGATGAGTTTCATAAGTAGATCCCACCCATGGTGCCCCTGTGTGTGTCAGAGTAGAACTATGCCCACAGGGTTCTCAGTGGATGAGTTTTCAGAAGTAGATCCCACTCATGTTGCCCCCATGTGTGTGTCAGAGTAGAACTGTGCCCACAGGGTTCTCAGTGGATGAGTTTTCAGAAGTAGATTCTACTCATGGTGCCCCCATGTGTGTCAGAGTAGCACTGTGCTCCACAGGGTTCTCAGTGGATGAGTTTTCATAAGTAGATCCCACTCATGGTGCCCCGTGTGTGTCAGAGTAGAACTGTGCCCCACAGGGTTCTCAGTGGATGATTTTTCATAAGTAGATCCCACTCATGATGCCCCGTGTATGTGTCAGAGTAGAACGGTACCCCACAGGGTTCTCAGTGGATGAGTTTTCAGAAGTAGATCTCCAAGCTTTTCCTCTTAGGCATCTCTGGGTGAACTTGAACCTTGTTTTTGGTTATCAGCCATGATGAAAATCACAAATAGAGGAGGGAGTGCTGGACTCAGGGGCACAAATTATTCTCCCACCCTAGCCCCACTTCCTGAGGGATGTCATGGGATATGCATGAAGGACCTCAATCCCCCGAGTTTGACCCAACTATGTCCTCTCTCCAGACTTTCCTCTAGACATACTTTGTTGTTGTTTAGTGCCATCGAGTTGGTTCCAATTCAGAGCAATCCTGTATGGGGCTTCTGAGGAGCAGCTGGTGGGTTTGAACTGCGCAGTTCAGCGCTGATTCCCAGCGCCACACCAGAAATACGTAGTGGTATGGAAATAGCTTTATGCATAAAGATGTTCACTGCAGCATTATTATTCATTAGGAAGGGCAGGGATGGAACCTTAATGTCTAATGGATGGGGATGGCTGCTCACTGACTGGATGGAATTCTCCTCTCTATTACAGAGGAGAGGTGAAGATGTTTGTAGCAATATCAGAAGATCAGATCTTCCATGTACCTAAGTACAAGTAGAAAAACTTTGTGGATAGTACTGTATCCACAAGCCAACTGCAACTCACAGCGGCACTGTAGGCTACAATAGAATTGCCCGTAGGGTTTCTGAGGTTGCACGACTATCTTTGCAGAAGCAGTGTTGCAGAGAGCAGCTGTTGCAATTGAACGGTTGCAGGATCCTAGACATGCATGGTTAGCTATAAAAACAGTTAAAAACGGACGCTACTGTGTAACCAAGAGTGGCTATTTTTGTTATTTTCTGGGGGTGCGATTTCTTTTCTGTCTCTGTTTTCCAAAATTGCCTCCGTAAACCTATCTATGCTACTTTTATGATGTAAGGAACCAGAATTAAAGCTCTCTCTGCCTTACAGACTTTGGGAGCCGTCACTGCCGTGCCTGTCACGGGTCCTCAGGTCAGCTCCTTGCAGAGATTGGCTGGGCAAGGCGCCGCAGTGCTACCTCAGGTAAGCTGCCCCGTCCATGTGTCTGTCTGTCCTAGTCTCCAAGGACTGATTGCTAGGATGCAGATCCCACAAGTGGGTGGCTTGAAGGAACAGGTGTGTGTAGTGTCTCACAGTTCTGGATTCTTGTTGTTGTTAAGTGCTGTCATCAGTTTGACTTGTAGCCATCCTGTATAAGGTTCCCAAGGAGCAGCTGGTGAGTTTGAACTGCCGACCTTGCAATTCAAACCGACCTTGTGGTCTATGTTTATCTTACAGTGCCACTCTGGGACTCTGTCCTGCACTCTATGAACATCCAAATAGGGTCCTTCCTTGTTGGTCTCCCGGGCATTCCTTGGTTCCTGATCACCCTCATGTGTCTCCTCTCTGCCCCCATTTATCCTGGCTCTTGTGTCTTCTTATAACTCAGGTGGTGCCCAGCTACCACTGCCGGGATCACAATAGGAGGTCTTGGATAGAGAGGGAGAAAAATGTGGAACGAGACTCAAAATCATTCTAAAAGGCCTGGCTCACTAGTCAAAGACTGGTGGAACGGCCAAGACTATGCCCCTTAGTCATCCTTCAGGCCTGGGACTGAACTCACCCTATGGCTCATCTTTCAGTTAAATGAGAGACAGGCCTAGAAGCTGTGCAGTCACACCAGGGAGGTACCCACTTCTGAGAAAAGCAACACACAACATCCAAAGGGCAGCATTTTCCCAGAGAGGAAGCTCAGAAGTCAGGAAGGGAGAGGAAAGAAGGTCAGATGGAAACAGGAAACTCAGGAGGAAGAGGGAAGAATGCTGTTACGTTGTGAGGACTGCCGTCGATGCCAAGAATCAAAATGTGTATGGTGGTGGAATGAGAAACCAGTTGCTTCACCTAAATTACAATGAAAAAGTCAAGGATAAAAAGAAAGGAAGACGTGATTAGGTTTAGGAGCCATACTACACCAGTACACATTGATATAACCAAGAAACTACTACCTTCAAACAGGATCCATCCACAGGTAGAAGGTAGAATTCCAACTTGTATTTTGGGGGCACATAATTCCATCCACAATATAATTCTATTCACATGCTGGTACTCTGGGGCAGGCGCTGGGCTGGGTAGGATTCCCACTTTCAGGGTCTCTGCGTCAGTGGTGCCCCTTCTCCAGCCTCCTCAGCCCACCCTTCAAAGGAAACGATTGAACCAAATGTTATTTCCCATACGGGGAGGGATTGTGAAATCCATTTATAAGCAGAATTTTCTTTTTGTTAACTGAAATAAACTAGGCTAGTCTAGACTAGAAAACCTCAAGATGCTTCAGAAACATCCTGTCTTGAACTGTATCCTCCTGTCCCGGGTTGCGACGGGACACGTATTTTTAACTCGGGCTCACGCTGAAGGTATTTTGAAGACCTGGACAACACCCTGTTGTCACTCAAGAGGCTGTGGGGGTGTTGCAGCCCCCCCAAGAAGGCCACCTCCCTGGGCTGGGCCCCTGGGACCGTCTGCTTTACAGTGACCACACAAAACATTTATCACAGTGCCTGGTACATACAGCGTAAATGCAAAGTGCCCTGGTGGTGCAGCAGGTTAAGTGCTGGACTGCTAACTGTAAGGCTGGTGGTTCAAACCCACCAACCACTATGCAGGAGAACTATAAGGTTCCTGCCCTAGTGTGGTGCTGTTCAGTAAAGTACTAGACCCACAAGGTCAGTTTAAACCACAAGGTCGGTGGTTCAAACTCATCAGCTGCTCTTTGGAAACGTTATACAGGTTCACTATGGGACAGAACTGATTAGATGGCACTTAACAACAACAAAGATTTACAGTCTCTGAAAAGCCTCAGGAGCAGTTCTATTCTGTTCTAGGAGTCAGAGTGGACTCAGCCGCTGTGAGTGACTACTAACTCAGCTACATTGAGCACCTGCTGTATACTCTCTACCTTGGCAGGTGTGCCAGCTACAAACATGCGGAGCAGTGCCCACTGCCTTCATCCTCTGGGTTGGGTGCAGCTCTTGACCCTGGGCGAGTCCAGGGGGTTTAGGGTTGGCCCACACCAGCCAGAGACTGTGAGCCACCCCTGAGTGACCAGGGGAAGGCCAGACTGAGAACTGGAACAGACTGAGGTGAGCTGAAGGTCACAGCAGGGCCCTCACTGACCACCTGCAGGAGTAGGTCTCTCCCCGCTGCTCCTCTTCAGAGCCTCCGAAGTGAGTGGTTGGAGGCAGCCAAGGGCAGGAGGAGAATCTCTTGCTACAGCTGTTCTCAGCTGAACTGACGTTTGCTTTGGGCTGTGGACCCTGTAGGCAGTTGTCTCTGCCCACTTTGCTGAGGCTCGCTGTGACCGGGGACGAGAAGGCCTGAGTAGAATGCTGGCCAAGGGATCAGGAGGCTGCCCTGGAGACTGGGGACAGCATGGAGTAACATGTGAGACTTTCCTCTGTCTCCTCATCCCACCGCCCTAACAACCTTGGATGAGTCCCTTGTCCTTCCGAGCCTCAGTTTGTTCATCTGAAAATGGAAACTGTAGAGCCGACACTGTGGGTGTGGCCAGGCTCTGACAAGACAAAGTGAGCCATCTCCTTCCTGTGAGCCATCTCCTGGTCTGTACGAAGGTGTCCTACCTGGGACCTCATGGGACCAGCGTGGCTTCATATCCGGGACACGGAGGCTGCGTGTCAGAGTCGGACTTGGAGAGTCCCCTGATTTCTGACATGGGACTTCACTGTCCTGGCGCTGCTCAGGGCTGTCCCTCTGTGAACCTCTTGGGCCATCACCCTGCCTCTGACTATCTATCTGACCATGCATCTGTTCCTCCCTGCCAGGTTAGGCCAAAGACTCTGATTCCAGACAGCCTCCCCGTCACCCCAGGCCGGGACCGGCCTCCCAAGCAGCCCCCAACATTCCAGAAGGCCACTGTGGTCAGTATCAAGAATCCCAGTCCAGCCCTCCCAACTGCCAACAACACCGTCAGCCATGTGCCAGCGCCCAGCAACCTGCCCCAGGCCCGCGCCGAGCCCACCGCCATCACCTCTCCTCTAAGCAGCGCCGGTGTGGCCTACGCCATCATCTCCACTGCCCCCAGCAATGCCGCCACCATCACCCCCAGCACTGCTGTGTCTGTGGTCAATGACGGCATCAAAGTCCAGCCCCTCCTCATCAGTGCCGACAACAAGGTGAGAGCCCTGGCCACAGCCATGCAGGGGGCCACCAGGGACTGGAGGGATGAGACCTAGTTGGCCAGGTGATGGAGTGAATGAGCAGGGGTGTGAATGCATGAAGAAATGAATCAGTAAATGAATGAATGAGGGTAAAATTAATGGATGGATGGATGGATGACTGATTGAGTGGATGGATGGATGGATGCTGATTGAATGGATAGATGGATGATTGAATAGATGATTGAATGGATGAATGGATGAATGATTGAATAGATGGATGGATGAATGACTGGATGGATGGATGAGTCAATGGATGGATGGATGATGGGTTGAATGAATAGAAGATGGAACGAATGCTAGATAGAAGATGAATGAAGTAATCAATAATGGTGAAATGAATGACTTTATGGTTGATGAATGAATAATGATAAAATGGAGCAAGGGATGAATAATTGGATGCACCAATGATCATTGTTGTTAGGTGCCTTTGAGCTGGTTCCGACTCAGCGACCCTGTGCACTGCCCAGTCCTTACACTGTTGCTATGCTAGAGCCCATTGCTGCTTCCATTGTAGCAGTCCATCCCATTGGAGGTCTTCCTCCTTTTTGCTGATGCTCCACTATAACAAGCATGATATCCTGCTCTAGAGACTGGTCCCTCCTGATATTATGTCCGAAGCATGAGAGACAACATCTCGCCATCTAGGATTTTAAAGAACATTCTAGCTGTACTTCTTCCAACACAGGTTTGTTTGTTCTTCTGACAGTCTGTGGCATTTCATACATAACATCATAACTCAAATGCATCAATTCTTCTACAGTCTTCCTTATTCCTCATACATGTACGTGAGGCTATTAAAAATATCACGGCTTGGGGTCAGGTGCGCCTTAGTCTTCAAACTGATCTTTGCTCTTGAATACTTTGAAGAAGTTTTGGGCAGCAGATTTGCCTAATGCAACATGTCGTTTGATTTCTTGACTGCTGCTTCCATGAATGTTGATTGTAGATCCAAGCAAAATGAAGTCTTGGACAACTTCAATCTTTTCTCCATTTATCATTTATTTATTGGTCCAGTCATGAAGATACTTGTTTTCTTTACATTGAGCTACAATCCATATAGAAAACTGTGATCTTTAATTTTCATCAATAAGTATTTTAAGTCCTCTTCACTTCCAGAAAGCAAGGTTGTATCATCTGCATTTCGCAAGTTTAATGAGTCTTCCTACCATCTTGATGCCACGTTCGTCATATAATCCAGTTTCTTGGATTATTTCCTCAGCATACAGATTGGTTAATTATGGTGAAAGAATACAATCCTGGCGCACACCTTTCCTGATTTTAAACCACTCAGTGTTCCCTTGTTCTGTTTGAACAACTGCCTCTTGGTCTATGTACAAGTTCCTCATGAGCACAATGAGGTCTTCTGGAACACCTGTTCTCACCATGGTATCCGTAGCTTGTCATGGTCTACACAGTTCAAAGTCTGTGTTTTTAGCCAAGATCCAGCTTACGTCAGCAATGACATTCCTCATTCTACATCCTCTTCTGAGTCCGTCTTAATTTTTGGCAGTTCCTTGTCAGTGTACTGTTGGCAATGTTTTTGAATTCTTCAGCACAATTTTACTTGCATGTGATATTAATTATATCGTTTGATGGTTTCCACAGTCTGATGGGTCACCTCTCTTTGGAATGGACCCAAATAGGGATCTCTTCCAATCGATGGGTTAGGTAGCTGTCTTCCAAATTCCTTGGCCTAGGTGAGTGAGTGCCTCCAGTGCCTCATTAATTTGTTGAAATTTTTCAATTTGTATTTGTCAATTCCTGGAGGCTTGTTTTCCTCGAATGCCTTCAGTTCACCTTGGACTTAGTACCATCGGTTGTTAATCATACGCTGCCTCTTGAAATGGTTGAACATCAACCATTTCTTTTGGTACAGTGACTGTTTATTCCTTCCATCTTTTTTTGATGGCTTCTGCATAATTCAGTATTTTGCTCCTGTTGTTGTTACATGCTGTCAAGTTGGTTCCGACTCATATTGACCCTATGTAGAGTCTCTGACGAGTGGCTGGTGGGTTTGAACCCTGACGTTGCAGTTAGCACTCCATTGTTTATCCTATCGATAGCATCACATCATTACAAGTTGAGGCTTGAATTGTTTCTTCAATTCTTTCAGCCTGAAATGCTGAGCATTTCTAACTCCACGTCTTTGCACATTTCTTTATAATACTTATGTGTTCCTTTTCATTTGTGACCATTTCCAATTTTCCTAAATTCTTACTTTATATATTCCATGTTCCAATTATTAATGGGTGTTTACAGCTGTTTCTCCTTATTTTGAGTTGTGCCCCATCAGCAAATGAAGGTCCTAAAAGTTTTACTCAATTTGCGGCATCACAGTCAGCTCTCCTTTGAGGAGGCAGCTCTTCTCTTGTCATCTTTGAGTGTCTTTCAGCCTGAGGGGCTCATCTTCCAGCACTGTATGTAACCATCATTTTCCGGTACTTATACCTGATAATGTCCCACTGCTAGTCATCAAGTTTTCAGTGGCTAAATATTCAGAAATAGTCCACCTCTCCTCCTTCCTAGCCTGTCTTCGTCTGGAAGCTCAGCTGAAATCTGTCCACCATGGGTGACCCTGCTGGTATTTAAAATATCGGTGGTGTAGCTTCCAGCTTCACGGTAATACACAAACCACCACAGTAACAAACTGACAGGCAAGTGGTGGTGTGGATGATCGAATGAATGAGTGGATGGATGTCTAGTGAATGAATGAATGATGAGATGGATGAATAGATGGATGGATGATGAGTGAAGTGAATGGATGAACAAAGAATGAAGTAAACAAATAATGATGAATGAGTAGACGGATAAGTGATGAAGGAAATGAATGAATGATGATGAAATGGATGAATAGATGGATGGATGATGAGTGAAGTGAATGGATGAACAAAGAACGAAGTAAACAAATAATGATGAATGAGTAGACGGATAAGTGATGAAGGAAATGAATGAATGATGATGAAATGGATGAAGGGGTGACTAGATGGAGGACTGTTGTTGTCAGGTGCTGTTAAGTTGGTTCTGACTCAGAGACACGTGCACAACATAATGAAACACTGCCCCGTGCTTGAATGAATGAATGGGTAAGAAAATGAATTAGAGGCTGGATGGTGAAATGAATTAACGAGTGAGGACATGAAAGAAATGGATACATGAATCAAAGGGGGGATGGATGGTTAATGAAAGAAATAGGCATTTTAGTGAATGGGGTATAAATGAATGAATGGCTGACGGCATTCACGAGTGGGAGAAGAATGGCTATGCTGCTCTGTTCTCTGTTCCCATGAATGGATGTGTGGATGGATGAGGGAGAGGCAAGGAGCCCAATCCGGATTATGAGTCTTGCTGGAGTCAAAGGCTCTTTTACACCATAGGTTCCAGAATGGAAAATCTCATGCTTATATTGCCAAGATTTAAAACTAAGACCCTCTCCCTATTTCCCTCCAGCCTTCCTTGTGATTGCAGCTGGATGAGGTCTCTGTTACCATCTGGTTGACTCCAATACGTGGACCCCTCGGCATGTCAGAGTAGAACCATGCTCCTTAGAGTTTTCAGTGGCTGATTCTTTTAGAAATGGATCACCAGAGCTTTCTTCGGAGACATCTCTGGGTGGGCTTGAGTCTCCAACTTGTTGGCTGGCGGCTGAGCACTGACCTATTGGCACCAGTGTCATTTCCTAGGTTTTCCCTCTTCCCTCTGCATCAGAGCAGAAGAGGAAGACGGTCCATGAGATGGCGCAGTGGCTGCAACGGTGGGCTCAGCCTAGGAGCGATTGTGCGGATGGCGTAGAACCGGCAGTGTTTTGTTCTGTTGTGCATGGGGTCCCTGTGAGTTGGAACCGTTAACGACAACCATCACCTCCGTCTCCACCCAAGGGCTGCTGTCTACCAAGCTGCCCCCTCTTTCTTCTGACCAATGTTCCTCCTGTTATCCAGCCGCAGTGTTCACACCCAACTTTCATTCAACCTTCTGTTCTTGCATAGCGTGCATTTCTGGAAGCACCTTGCTTTCAGTTCCTCCTACCCTCTGACGGTGTCCCTGGGGAATCTCAAAGCCGAAGGTGCTTATGTGGATATGGTCAGAGGGCCGGCTCCAGGAAGAAGAGCTGCTCTGGGGACTCTGCCTGCTTCAGAGGGGGAGTTAGCAGATGTTTGTTGACCAACCGTGCCAGTTTCAGTGTTGTTGTGATTAACATGTTTTTGCTCTTTCATTAGATGCAAACAGGACCCTGGTTCTTGTTCGTTGGACCCCTTTGCTTATTGTTTGTCATGGTGATTTTTAAAGACCTCTGTCTCATTGTGTGTGATAGATTGGCTGGAGAGTTATTCTTTGCCTTTTTTCTATTGGGAATCTTAATGTGTTTCTTCCCCTGAATAGAAAAAAGCGTTTCCAGTTCGAGAATTCTAGGCTTTTAAAAAATGGATACAAAGATCAAACTGCTCTCCCGAAAGCCTGCCTAGAGAGAAGTGGATTGTTGTTGTCTCTCGTACTTCCCCACAGCTTCTTAGAAAAAGGAGTTTGAGTTAGCTGGAGGCCTGGCGGGAGCCAGACCCAGCTGGATGCTCTTTTGTTCCTGGATCTACAGGAAGGGGCAATTTTTCCCCAGCCCCCATCCAAAAATACATAAACAAAGGGACATTGAGCTACAGGATCAGCAGGTGGAGGGTCAGGCTGGATCCCCTGATTTGTCCTCAGACTCTCTAATCAAACCGTATTTTATACCAAAAGGCTGGACAAAGTGGGGGCATCCTTGGTGAGACTAAATGGGATTCCCCACCACCAGTGCTTGGCAGGGTCTCTCTGGGCAGAGTGTGGAGTTGTAAGAGTTGTTGTTAAGTTCTGTCAGGTTGACCAGGAGCAGCTGCAGGGTTTGAACCACTGACCTTGCTGTTGGCAGTCCAGTGCTTACCCTACAGTACCACATCAGAACTCCTGAGAAGTCATTAGTCAAACACTTTTGGTTTGGGTGCCTCAGAAGCTGGCCTGAGGGCTAATGGGACCCCATGGGGAACTGGGGAGTGGGCAGGCCCTGAGGACTGCCGCCAGATCGACCCCCACCCCGCCTGGGTCAGCCCTTCCGCTCTCCACTTCCTAACTTGAAGGCTGGCAGAGAGCAAACCTCCATTTACCTGCATTTGAGCTGGGGGTAGATAAATAGACCAGCCCCTTTGATGCTCTTGCACAGAACCTGCTCAGCTCCAGGAAAGTGGGTGTTGGGAAGGTTGTGTAGATGAGGAAGCTGAGGCCTCACAAGGGGGAGACAAGGGTGGGACGGGATTTGAACCTGGTAGCTTCTTGCAACCCCTGCTCTCCACGTAAAGGGGTGTCCTGCAGACCCGGGACCTGTCTACTGGTGGTGCACACACCGCTCCGGGAGACCAGTACGGACGCCCTTCCCAGGGGCTCCCCAAGCCGTCCCTCATGCTCACGCCTCCTGCAGGTTATCATCATTCAGCCTCAAGTGCAGACGCAGCCCGAGAGCTCGGAGGAGCCGCGGCCGCCCACGGAGGAGCCATCTCAGGGAGCTCAGGCCACCAAAAAGAAGGAAGACAGGCCTCCAGGCCCAGAGAACCCCGAGGTAGGGCGCCTGGTCTGAGAGCACAGCGCTGGGGGCGCAGCTTCTGCCAGGGGCGGAGCCTGTGCCCATATTGAAGGCAATTAAGACCTGTGTGTGTATGGGGTGTGGAGAGGACCTGTGGGTTCAGCTGGTGGCCCGTAGTGAGGGCCGTGCTCTGGCATAGGGCACTGTGCAGGGAGCAAGAGTGGGCATCTCAGTTTGGATGTCCTTCTGCAAGTCCCAAAGTACTGCAGCCCTATGGGTGGGCGCATACTTCCGGGGCAGGAATTGGCCCCTACAAACCACGTAAGACTCTTCCAGGTTTGTTCAGATCCTAGAGCCAGGCTGGCTGGATTTGCACCCAGCACTGCCAGCTTACGTCTTGACTAATTCCTCTGTTTGTGTTTCTATAAAATGGGTGTCATAGTTCTTTACTGGGGCTGCCCCAGGAACAGTGCCTGGGATGTACTGGGCTGTTACGCAGCATTGTGGGGGGCCATAGGGAATCAATGTGCCGCTTGAACCTAAAATAGCTTCCTGCCTCCTTCCAATATCCACCACCAATCATGATCATGTTGTGGGTCAGGGCCCTGAATGCCTTAGAAGTCAGCTGCCCAAGCCCATTGGGGGAGATACAGAAGGTTCCTGATGGTGCTGAAAGAACTTTCTGGAAAACATACATAGAAACACCTGAAGGGGCAAATAGGCTTTAATTGCACCATCCTGATACCTGGCCCTGGTGGTGCAGTGATTAAGCACTGGACTGCTGACTAAAAGGTTGGCATTCAGAACTCACCCAGTGGCTCTGCAGAAGAAAGGTCTGGCAACCTCTTCCTGTAAAGAGAACAGCCGAATAGGACAAGCCATTGAGAACTTTATGGCAAATGAAAAAAGGGAAAGGAAAAGAGTTGGGAGAGAACAGAAAGGAGCTAGAGAAACAGATTCGGAACTGGATCGTGATAATGGTTTGGATCGTGGTGATGGTTGTGCGGCACGAGGAGAGCTTGGTCGCGGTGATGGTTGTGCGGCATGGGCAATGTGGGTTGTACATGTAAAAGTGGTTGAAAAATGTTTAAAAATATGGCACTGGAGGATAAGCACTGACCACACGATCATTTAGAGTCACAATATCGGCGTTTCAAATTCACCAGCCGCTCCTCGGAAACCCTATAGAGAGTCACAATGAGTCGGCACTGACTTGACAACCCTTAACAACAGCAACAGTTCTAAGAGGACATTATTGACAACTGTGTGCTAATAAATTCGAAGTAAATTTAAAATAAATCATACAGAGATGACAGCCTTGGAAACCCTGTGGGGCAGCTCTCCTCTGTCACATGGTGTTATTGCGGTCTTCCTTGGCTGAAATTCTGGCTACAGCCGGGGGCAGCGTTGCTTCTTGCATCCCCAGCCATGCTAAGCCTCATGGGCCTGCGTGCTGTGTCTGGCTCACACTCATCCCTGCGGAACCCCATTCAGCCCCCGAGAGTCCGTCCACACATAATCTCCTCCAGGGGCCTTCTCCCACCTCCCCACCCCAACAGCATGACTCTTCCATGCATTGTCATTATCAGCCATTCATTCACTCATCACGCCTGCCTTAGCTCTGCTTTGTGCAGAGGACTGGGGACACTGTGAGGGACAGGTGTCGGTCCCACCCGTAGAGGATCGCCTTTCTGACAGAGGCAGGGCCATAGAGGACCCTAACGAGTTTAAAAAGCATCAAGTCATCAGTTGTTAGGTGCCGTCGAGTCAGCTCCACTCATAGCAGCCCTGTGCACAGCCAGACGAAACACTTCCGGGTCCTGAGCCAACCTCACAGTTGTTACAATTTAGCCCATGGCTGCTGCCCTGTGCCAATCCATCTCATTGGGGGTCTTGCTCTTTTTCACTGACCCTCCACTTTACCAAGCATGATGTCCTTCTCTAAGGCCTGGTCCATACTGATAATGTGTCCATACAAGTATGAGAGACGAAGTCTAGCCATCCTGGCTTCTAAGGCGCCTTCTGGCCGTACTTCTTCCAACAGAGATTTGCTTGGTCTTCTGGCAGACCGTGGTACTTTTAATAGTCTCCTCCAGCACAGTACCTCAAATACAACAATTCTATAAGGTTTCCCTTATTCATTGTCCAACTTTCACACGCATATGTGTCGTCAGAGAACTACAAATTAAGCACTGTTGGCAATCAGGGAAGGGAGAGAGCCGGTTTTCCCCATGAGGACCAGGAAGGATTTGTTAAGGGCGGGACCCTCAGGGACGAGTCATAGGTAGGATTTCAACAGCGAAACCAGGGTGGGCTCCCAGGTGATGGATAGTGACACGGAGGGTCACCCACTCAATTTAGACTGAGATAGTGTCACTGGTAGCGTAGTGGTTATGAATCGGGCTGCTAACCTCAAGGTCAGCAGTTCGAAACTACCAGCGGTTCCGTGGGAGAAAGATGAGGCGTTCTGCTCCTGCAAAGATTTACAGCTTCGGAAACCCTGTACAGGGTCGCTATGAGTCGGAACTGACTCCACGGTACTTAACAACAACAACAACGACAAGTTTCATTGTAGTCCAACAGTGGTGTGTCACTATAGGCTAAGCACTGGTCTGCTAATCTCCAGGTCGGCGATTCAGTCTCAGAAACTCCATACAGGGTCATTATGAGTTGGAACCGGCTCGACAGCACTTCATAACAAAAGCATAGGTTTGGAGTGCCCTGTTGCTGCAAATAGTTAAGGCGTTTGGCTGCTAACCAAAGACAGCCACAGGTACTTCAGAAGAAAGGTCTGGCAATCTTACTTCCAAAAGCTCAGCCCTTGAAAACCCTATGGGTGTGCACAGTTATGCTGCTACACATGAAGTCTCCATGAGTCTGGTGAGCATGCCAGAAGCTGACTTAAGCATAGGTATATGGGAACATGCAAGTAGGAAGACCTGAAGCACAAACTGCCAAGGTTGAAGTGTAGAAAACCTTAGGCAGTAGGGAGCCATGGAATGTTTTTGAGCAGGAGATTTTCCTTTGACTTGTCCAAAATGCTTAGGAGACATGTAGTCAACCACTCACTGAGGCTGAGGTGTGTGAACCAAGTCATCCATGCATGGCCTCAGCCTAACAGGTCTCAAGAAAGATAGTCAGTTCCACCCTTTGGGGAGGTCTGAGCGTGCAGGGTGAGACTTTTCAGGAGGTGTTGCTGTGTGCTGAACATTCGGGAACGTTTTCTGGGCATATCCCTTTGTTCTCCCAAGTCTATCTTCGTGGATTGTTGTGCGTTTATACAATTAGTGTAATTACATCTAACTACATAATTAGTGTAAATAGTTTAATGACTTGAATAGAACTTGCAATTACATTGTGTCCTGGTGTGAAGAGCTCCCTTAATGTCAGTTTTGAGAGAGGACGGGGGTGTACTAGATGGATAGGTGACTGTCCTTGGGGGGGTTCAGGTTCAGAATAATTGCTACCAAGGTGGCTCCTGCACCCCAAAACATGATCAGAGGAGGCATTGTAGGGACAGGGGTTGTTTGACTTGAGAGATGGATATTTTTAAAGAAATGGTAATTGGTGTACAAGGTCCCTAGGCAATTGATGAAGAAACCCTCGTGGCACAGTAGTTGAGTACTCCCCTGCTTTTGGTTGAGAGGTTGGAAGTTCAAACCCACCAGTGGCTTCACAGGAGAAAGACCTGCCAATCCGCACCCACAAAGATGGCAGTTTGGGAAGCCCTGTGGGGCAGTTCCACTCTGTCCTCTACGGTGACGAGGAGTTGGAACCGAATTCACAGCACACAACAGGTAGTGCGGCTGCTCAGTTGCTGACCTAAGGCTGGCAGTTGGACCCCACCCATCAGCACCTCGGAAGGAAGGCCTGGCCATCTGTTAACATTAAGACTACAGCCAAGAAAACCTCTAGAGCAGTTGTACTCTGTAACACAACAATGAACACCAGCACCAGAATTGGCATTGGTGAGGCTTGGGCTTGAGCCAGGTGGATTCTGGGTAGTAACCCTGAATGTCCGCAGCCACGAGCAGGTGTGAGTAAACAACACAGGAGATGCAGTGGGAAGGGGGTTGTGTTATGTTCACCAGCTGACCTCAGAGCAACTCCTGGAGATGGTGGACCCTGGAGAATGCTAACTGCTGTCCCTGCAGTGTCCGGTGGGCTGGGTCCAGTCCTCACCTGGCTGTGCACTGGGGACTGTTGCCCCATTGTACAGATGGGGCAACTGAGGCCCCAGAGTAGGGGCCACCAGAGCCGGTATCCACACCCCGGTAGTGCAAGCCCCTCATCAACCTCCTTCAAGAGGCAGGTCTGAGTCCTCGCGGTTTGAGTCCTGCTGAGTAGAGGGGTCAGGTTGGGTTGAGGGCGGGGTCTTCAACCTTGTCCAAGACAGAGTTGTGGTCTATTGATGGCTACCCATTATCCAGGCTCTGTCCTGTGAAGGGGCTGCAATTCTGTCCCTGTCTGGCCTCCTGTCTGGTCCAAGTACTTGTCCTTTCTGCCCTCTGACCCCTACTGCTACAGCACCTTGAGTAAACCTGTCCTCTGCCCTTAGGTGTGTCCTCCCCCCCCCCCCAATCTATTGACTCACCCTGCAGCTGAGATATTCTTCCCACATTCAGACTTACCCAAGTCCCTCCCTTTTCTTTATGTCGAGGCGTGATCCATTCTGAAGTAGTCTTTATACACTTATTGCTGTTAAGTGCTGTCCAGTGACACTGAATGGGGTTTTTGAGGAGAGCTGGGGAGTTTGGAACCACTGACCTTGCCATTTGCAGTCCAGTGCTTATCCTATAGCACCACACCAGGACTGGGAGATGGGAATCTTAGAGCCATCTTAGCATTCTGTCTCCATCACAGAAGAGCTTAAAGACCAACAGAACACAGAGCGCTACATATAACACGATGCACATTTGTTGTGTGTGTTTTTTCACGATGCGCTCTTTATTACGTCACACTGGAACTGGAGGTCAAACGAAGTAACCTACCTAGTTGGTCATTGTTGTGAAGTGCTGTCAAGTCACTTTTGACTCACAGCAGCCCTGTATAGGGTTTCTGAGGAGCCGCTGGTGGGTTTGAACCACTAACCTTTCAGTCAGCAGTCCAATTCATCAAAGTGTGTCTGTATATAAAAAGTCAAGGGACCATCAAAGCAGAAGAGCATGAGCAGCAAAAATGGAGGCAGAGGTGAGGACATGGAGAGAGAGGGCAACTGAGGACTCTGGACTCATGGAAAGAGAAAGGCTGTCTGCTGACAGCCAGGAGGCAGGCTTGCAGAATGTGGCCTTTGGCTTTTTAAGTGATTATGTAATTCCTCAGTGTTTTGTGTACATTAAAAAAAAAAAAAAAAGAGGGAATAGAAGTAAATACTGTTGAGTGATGATGCATGGAGGGGATTGTAATCATTGCAGTGAAATGAAATATGATAGGATGAATGCAAAACTGATGTTCTCCCATGTAAACTATCACTCAATTCACAATAAAAACTTAAAAAAAAAAAAAAAAGTCAAGGAAATGATCATTTCCAAACTCCAGTGAACAATTATTGGAAGGAGTTAAAGGGGGTGAGGTGAGGGGACGAACACCCAAGAGGTGCAACTGACTGGTTAAGTTTCAGCTTTCAAATTCCCTAGTAGATATGTATCTTCAGTGCATTATTAAATGGACAAAGTTAGAGACTGTTGAAGAGGGCGGTATGAGCAGAGGTTGGTAACGATTCAAGTGTATGTACTTTGTTGCTGTTGTTGTTGACCCCCAAGTCCATTCCACCTCAGCACTGACCCTGTGTGGCACGACACTTCATGTGACAGAGGCAGACTGCCCCGTCAGGTTTCCTAGGCTGTGATCATTAGGGGAGCAGATCGCCATCTCTTTCTCCCTCAGAGCCATTGGGGGGATTCAAACCACTAACCTTGGGTTTGCAGCTAAGCACTTAACCATTTCACTCCTAAGACTCTAAAAGGCGTGTTACCCATCACTCTTGGGGTCCTCAGTTGATCTGAGCAGCTCCTCTGAAGTTGCCATGTTAACAGTCTTTTTTAATGGGAAACCCATTCCCTGAGTATTTCTTAGACGTTAGCCTGGTGTCTGACATGTGGGGCCGCAGGGGCTGGGTTCACTGCAGGTTTGTGAACATTGTTTGGATGAATGACTACAGAAAGCCACTTTCACACTCGTTTCCCTCCCCAGAAAATCGCCTTCATGGTAGCGTTGGGCCTGGTCACAACGGAACACCTGGAAGGTAAGGATGGAGGCAGGCTGGCACGGGAGTGGCCCACCAGGCGAGTAGGTGCGGGGTCTGATAGCTGAGGATCCCTCTGGGGGTTGGGGGGAGCTATCTGGAGGTGATGTGGCAGCAGGGAGAAGCGGCAGGCCTCAGATGTTCTGGGTTAGGTGTCGGCAGCACCTGATGACCCGTGAGAGCGACACCAAGTTTCAGCTGTCAGACGGTTGGTTGTCAGCCCCCAACACAAACAAGACGAAGATATGCACACACACCCGGCCCCATGACTGTCGGCTTCAAGTTTATCTCTCAGCGCACTCTCTTGTTCCCATTCTGAATCTCAGTTTCTTCATCTGCAACACCAGGAACATGTCCTTTTCAAACCCCCCAGGGCTATTGTGGGAATTGAGATTAGAGTGCTTTTCTGTTTGCGGTTGCCCTTACAGGGACCTGTCTTTCTGTCTTGCTTCAGGGCTACCGCACATTTTACCAGTGAAAGGTTTGTGCCAAACATGCACCAAACAAGTCGATCACTTCCGTTTTCCCAACAGCGTACGCTCCCATTTTCTTATTTCTCACAATAGCGCCAACTTTTCCATCATGCTCCTGCACGCATAGACCGTAGTCTAGTGCTATCCTAACTTTCCCATGTTGCACCGGGGCACCGACAAATGCTGGTGACTTGCTTTATTGCAGCTGTCTGGAACTGGACCCACAATACCTTTGAGGTCTGCCTCTTTTGTTTTCATAAACTGTCGTCATTTTGAACACTTGTCCCCTGGGGTGTTATAAATACTCATTTCCTCAGGCCCCATCTTCTTCCTCAGAGGGTCTGAGGTGCCCTCCGGGAGACACGTCCAATCCCACAAACAGGAAAACCGAACCAACTGCTTGCTGTCAAGTCAGCTGTGACTCACAGCCGCCCACCAGCACAGAGTAGAACCGCCTCAGAGGGGTTCCAAGGCTGTGGTCTGTGTGAAAGGAGACGGCCCCATCTTTCTCCCACCAAGCAGTTGGTGGGTTCGAACCACCAACTTTCCAGTTAATAGCCCAAATGCTTCATCCTCTGTACAACTAGGGCTCCATTCCCAATCCTATACAAAAAGGCTTAAAAAGAAAACTCAGGCCCAAGGAGACAGATTAGAAAAGGTCAGAACTTCTCTCCACCCGGCCCTGAAGTCTGCACCCATGTTTGCTTAGAGCCTCCAGGCAGTCAAAGCAAAGAAGGACAAAAAGAGACACCATCCTGGTGTGGCTCTGTGGATTAATGAGCCAGACTGCAAAGCCATATGAACTGCAAGGCCGGTGGTTCAAGCTCACCAGCTGCTCTTCAGAAACCCTATACAGGGTCACTATGGGTCGGAATCGACTCGACAGCACTCAACAACAACATCAGTGTACAGCAGAGCCCTGGAAAGAGCTCCTGAGTTCGGTGTCGCTCAGCGAAATGCCCTGAGCAAGCACGTGCACTTGGCCTCTCCGGGGGCCATGAGCCTGGCCCCCAGCTCAGCCAAGAGATCCACCCACCTGCCATAGAATAAAGTGGGTGTTATCTAGAGACCCCCAACCCACCTGGGGCTACTCTGAGGCAGTAGTGTTGGGGTGTGGACAAGGCTGCGGGCAGGCCTAGGTGGTGCGGGAGGAGTTCAGCCAGCGCCGTGTCTGCCTTTCCAGAAATCCAGAGCAAACGCCAAGAGCGGAAGAGGAGGAGCACTGCCAACCCCGCCTACAGCGGCCTCTTGGAAACCGAGGTGGGTCCCGGCAACCACTGGGTGGAGGCTGGAGGGCTACAAGAGTCCCTGGGGCCTCCTGCTCACTCCTGGTCATCACTCACCCACCCTTGCTGGGATTGGGGTCCAGAGGGTGATGGCACACATGCCCCTTCCATCCTCCCGAGTGCAAAGTCAGGGAGAGAATCTGGATGCTTCACTGAGTGAACAGCTCCCTGGAGCATTGTGGGTAAACTGACCCAAAGAGAAAGGCCCACAAGAATGGACTGAGCTCAGCCAGCCCCAGGAAGGAAGGGTGGAGGGAGAGGAACCTAACTGCCCTTAAGCTGAAGTCCTTCCCTGGGGAATAAAAGGGTGTCGGGGAAGTAGAACCAAGGAGGTTCATACTTCCACCATCATCATCATTACCATCAGTACCACCATCACTCCTACCATCTCAACCACCATCACCACCACCAACACTGCCATCATCACATCGACACCACCATTACCATCATCACAACAACATTCCCATCATCACTCCTGTCATCTCAGTCACCACCACCGTCAACACTGCCACCATCACATCATCACCACCACCATTAACACTACCAACATCAATCCTATCATCAACATTACCACCATCATCACCACCACCATGACCATCACCACCACCAACACTGCCATTATCACATCAACACCACCATTACCATCACCACCACCACCAATATTGCCATCATCACTCCTATCATCTCAGTCATCACCACTGTCAACACTGCCACCATCACATCATCACCACCACTATCATCATCATCACCACCACCATTACCATCACCACCAACATTGCCATCATCACTCCTATCATCTCAATCACCATCATCACCACCACCACCCCTACTATTACTGCCATCACCACTACCTCTATCATTAACATCATCACCAGTACCAACACCACTATCATCATCACCTGTATCATCACCAACACCACCATTACCACCATCTTACTATCATCCCTACTGTTATCACTGTGGTGTGGCGCCAAAGGATAAGCACTTGACCTCAAGGTCGGTTTGAACCACAAGGCCGGCAGTTAAAACTCACCAGAGCTCCTCAGAAACCCGATACTGGGTCACTATGAGTTGGAACTGACTTGAGGGCTCTTACAACAACAATTACCATCACCATTAGCCTCACCACCACCATCATCATCATCACCATCATCATCTCAGAGTGTGACTTCCCAGCCATCTATAGGGACAATGGTCCCTAACCGCAAACATGGCCTCTTATGTGCCCACCTGCACTCCAGTGGACAAGATGCCATTTTCCGAGACACTCTGGGAGTGTTAGACGAGGCCATTGGCTGCAAGACCCCACCTGACTCCAACACCGTTGAGAACTAAATGTTAGCTTTGTTTCTGACCTGTCTCGATTTGGGGTCTCTGAGTCAGGCATACTTCATAAATGCAGCTTTTGTTTCCATCCTCTTCTACTGCCCCAGCGTCCCCATCTGTCTCTTCTTCTGCATTGGCTGAGATGTCCTGGGGAGCCTGTACCCCCGAGTAGTGCACCTGTCCTAGGTGGGTCCTGGGCGGGGCAAATGGTAGTGGCACCGAGTTGAGGCTCCCCATCGAGCCTGGCCTTTGTTTTGTTTTCTGTCTCCTATAGAGGAAGCGACTGGCCTCCAACTATCTCAACAACCCCCTGTTCCTCACAGCAAGAGGTGAGTGCTGCCGTGAGTCTGTGCCTCTTCTCCTGGTGGGCCCCCCCTGCCTGCAGGGTAAAGGGGGTATTTCTGGGCATCCAGGCCTGACCCTGTCTGTGGAGACGTTCCTGCATCCAGAGCAGTGACTGGTTTCCTCCTGGTGGCAATATATTAATGGTCACCAGACCCCCCTCCCCCCGTCCCCTCACTCCAGCCATCTGCTCTGTCCTCATAGCATCTTTAGAAGAGTCCCTTCCATCTGACAAGAGCAGAGACCCAGCACGTGGTATCCGTGGCAGTGCCGGCAGGACCACCCACATATAATTGGCCTTGCTTCTCCCAGCACCCCTATCTGCAGCTCACACAGGTGCTGAGGCACAGCCCAAGCCACAGGTGGTCCAGGCCAGGCGTGATAGGCTACCAGGAGCTCTGCTGAGAACTCTTCTCCACTCCTGCCCTGTCGCCCCCATACAGCATCAGATACCTCGTGGGCTGGGTGGCTCCACCTATACCTTGCCCATGCTGGACACGGGAGCCCTGGATCTCTGTCAAGCTCTGCATCAGGCTCCCTCTGTACAAGGCTTTGGACCCAGTCTTTTAGGGCCCTTGACTTGAGCAGGCTGGAGTGAATGGTGAACCCACACTTCATCGAAAGAACCCCCCCCCCAAGCTGGCTTTCCCTGTCTTGCAACCCTTGGTCCAGTCCAGTGTCTCAAGGGATCCAGAGACCCACGTCTGGGGCCCCAGCCAGCAAGAAGGACACATTATATTTTCAATTAGAAAGTTTTAGTAGTCCTAATTGAAAGCTGGACAGTGAATAAGGAAGACCATAGAAGAATTGATGCTTTTGAGTTATGGTGTTGGAGGAGAATATTGAAAGTGCCATGGGCTGCCAAAAGAACCAATAAATCCATTTTGGAAAAAATGCAGCTAGAGTGCTCCTTGGAGACCAAGATGACCAAACTTTGTCTCTCATACTTCGGACAGATTGTCAGGAGGGAACCAGTCGCTAGAGAAGGATATCATGTTTGGTAAGAGGGAGGGTCAGAGAAAAAGAGGAAGACTCCCAGCGAGATGGATTGACAAAGTGGCAGCATCAATGGGCTCAAGCATGGCAGCAATGGTGAGGTTGGCCCAGGATCTGGCAGTGTTTCATTCTGCTGTGCATAGGGTCTTTATGAGTTGGTACTGACTCGATGGCACCTAACAACAACAAGTGGTGCTATAGGATAAGCACTGGACTGCTAACCACAGGTTGGCAGTTCAAACCCACCAGCCACTCCTTGGAACCCCTATACAGAGTTGCTATAAGTCAGAACTGACTCGACGGCACTTAACAATAAAGGCAGAAAGCTTAGTGACTCTATAGGATAAACTCTGAACTACAAACCACAAGGTTAGTGGTTCAAGCCCTCCAGGGAGAAAGATGAAACTTTCTGCTCCCGCATAGATTTACAGCCTCAGAAATCCTATACCGCAGTGGTGATGAACATCAGGCTTGCAGGCCACATAAGGCCCTTGAAATCATTTGGTGTGGCCCTGCCAAGGCATCCACAGTTCCAGCCATCACATTGGTGGCAGTGGTGTTAGCGTGCTGTGGAGTTGGTTCTGACTCATAGCGACCCTGCGTAGAGTTTCTGAGGCTGTAAATCTTTATGGGAGCAGAAAGCCTCATCTTTCTCCTGCTGAACGGTTGGTAATTTTGAACTGCAGACCTTGAGGTTCACAGCCTGATTTGTAACCACTACGCTACCAGAGCTCCTTAGCCATCATTAAGGGTGAGTTAATTCAATGTCATAGCAAGCTGAGTTTTTGTTTTGTTTTGTTTTGTTTTTGTTTTTTAAAGCTTTTATTGTGAATTGAATGAAGGTTTACAGGGCAGCTCATCAGTTTCACATTCAGCAAATCATTGTAATGATTACAACCCCCTCCATGCACCAGCAGCTAACAGTGTTTACCTCGGTTGCCTTTTTTTGTTTGTTTTTCTGATGTACACATACCACATTGAAAATGTATACTCATTTAAGGCACTTTGGGAGTGTAGTGGTTACGAGTAAGGCTGCTAATTTCACAGTCAACAGTTTAAAACTACCAGTTCCGTGGGAAAAAGATGAGGCTTTCTGCTCTCGTAAAGATTTACAGCCTTGGAAACCCTGTACAGGGTCACTATGAGTCAGAACCGACTCCACAGTTCTTAACAACAACAACAGAGGTCCACAGGGCACATTTTGCAAGCTAGCCTTCTGCTCACAGACACACTGCCTTTCTCAGTCCATGGGCCTCGAGTCCTCTTCTGCTCTGTCTCTCCATGCCATCGCCTCGGCCACCATCGCTGTTGTCAAGCAGGCTGGTTTTTAAGTCGGTAATTCTGTATGGCCCGCAAATGTTGTTATAAATTTTGGCAGAAAAGAGGTTCCCCACTCCTGCTATACAGGGTCACTACGAGTTGTAACCGACTCCACGGCACTGAACAACAGGTCAGGAAGAAGATCCTGGTGGTACAGGGGGGTAAAGTGCTCAGAGGCAAACTGAAAGGTTGGTGGTTTGTACACACCAGCTGAGCCACGGAAGAAAGATGTGGCAATCTGCCCTATAGATACACAGTCTCGAAAGCCCTGTTGGGGGTCTTTCTAACTCTGTCCTGTAGGTCGCTCTGAGTTGGTCAACCTGATGGCAATCAGTTGGTTTTGGTAAGGGCAGAAAGTGACTGAAAAAAAATGTGAAACTTTTCACTACCGATCAGCAGATAAGCACAAATCTGCCCATGCTGACTTGTTTGCTGGGTGACCTGTCCCTGCCTGCTCACCTTCAGAACTGAAAGGACAGGCCAGTGTTGTAGCCATCGAGTGGGTGGTGCCCATGCACTGAGGATAGGAGTAGGTCACAGACGAGCAAGCCCGGAGACACGTGCCGTCTGAGGAGTTCCTGGAGAGCTGGTCCCTGCCACAGGGTCCTCATTTCTCACAGATGAGAACAGAGCTGTCACCGGGGCCTCATGGGCCTCCCACCATGTCCTGGGGGAGGACCCTGGCCTTGGCCTAGTATATGTCCCATCATACCTTGAGCAAGGACCCTGGTATAGGCCTCTTGGGCCTCCCATCATGCCCTGGGTGAGGCCCCTGGTATTGACCTTGTAGATGTACCATTGTGCCCTGGGTAAGGACCTGGTATTGACCTTATAGATGTCCCATCATGCCCTGGGTAAAGACCTGGTATTGACCTTGTAGATGTCCCATCATGCTCTGGGTGAGGATCCTGCCACACTAGGCCCTGTGGGCCTCCCATCATAACCTTGGTCTCGTAAATGTCCCATCATTCCTTGGATGAGGATCCTGGTGTAGGCCTCCTGGGCCTCCCATCATGCCACAGTAAGCCCCTTGGACTCCTTTCCTGATCCTGTGCTCCTCTGAAGCCCACTAATGCGTTCTCCGCCCTTCTTCCCTGTGCTAGCCAATGAGGACCCCTGCTGGAAGGTACGTGTCCCCTCCCCCTTCACACCTAGGTGGGTGGCGCATGCCTTCTTTCAATAAACGGGAAGCCTTTCTGGCCCAGGTAGGAAGGATCACTCAGAATGTCCCAGAAAACCCAAACCCTCTTTCTAGCAGCTAGGCAGTAGGGCATTGCTTCAAGGCTCAGTTCATGGACACAGGGTCCCTGGTGGCTCTGGATTTGCTGACCCTTCCAGGAACTGGACTCGGCAACCCCAGGGTCTCGCCCCACGTGCCCCATTTTGTTGCCCCTGTGAGGCATCCATCACACAGCTGCTAAAGACCCCATTCCCGGCCAAACCTCAGAATGGGTTTGGCATTTCCCTTTTTACTCAATCTCTGATCTAAAAAAAACATTTCACAGTCCTAATAGCCAAGACGTCAACCCACTGAGAAACCTAAGGCTGGTCCAAACAGCTCCAGTCAAACTATGTTTCCATGCTTACCACTGGCACAGAGGAGTGTGGCAGGCATGGGACCGGGGATGCCTCCAGCTGCTGGTCCCAGCCCCCATCTTCAGGTCACTGTGTGACCTTAAGCAACACCTCACCCTTGCTGGGCCCTGAAATAAGGGTGTGGACAGGGGTCCTGTGCTCCATCCTGTCTGTCACCCCTCCTTCAGGGCAGCCCTGGATGGCTTTTTCATAGTGTGGGTAACCCCAGACAGGACCCTCTGGTGTTTTCCACCTCTGTCCTCCCACGAGCCTCGGAGCATCTGACACCGGCTTGGGAACCAGCGTATCGTACAAGGTGGTAGGAAGCAGTTTCCATTTGGCAGGTGGCGGGGTGGGCCTAGAGAGTTCTTCCACTCAGCTGTAGGACCTGTAGTGAGCTCCCAGTGGGAGTGTGTACGGAGAGGCTCAGCAGCCAAACAATGGGCGCTGTACTGGGGACATGAAATGTCTCCTCATCCTGAGGAAAGGAGGAAGCTACCCTGCTCTGTACAAGTTACCTTATGAAGGCTCTGACGTCCTTGTCTCACGCAGCCGGTGTGACGTAACTCCTGGTTGCTGGAGATACCAGTTTTGATGGAGGTGTTGTGAAGAGGATTTGAGGGGGGTCAGCTAGAGGACCAAGGGGAACTCCTCAATCCCTGAGGCTGGCCTCACATGGGGGATATAATGGGATCCTCTGAACCCTGGCCCAGCCCCCCAACAGGATGGATGCCCAGGGAGACTGTCTGCTGGGCCGGCAGGTGTTTGGCCACAGCAGGTGGGAAGATTCTGTGTGTTACATACACTCATTGTCCACCTGCATTTTACCACGCCTGCTAAGAGATGTGGCCCAGGTGTCTTGTGTGTCCCGTCTCCCTGCCTGACCAGCACCGCCCACCCTCTCTTTCAGAGCGAGATCATCCACGATGATATCTGTGCTGCCTGCAAGCTTGGTGCTGACCTGCAGCCTTGTGGCACCTGCCCTGGGGCCTACCACCTCAGCTGCCTGGACCCGCCCCTCAAGACAGCGCCCAAGGGCATGTGGGTGTGCCCCCAGTGCCAGCAGAAGGTAGGGAGTGGTGGCTGGAGCAGGCTTCCCTCACCCAGTATCCAGGAGGGGCACCCAGGTTGAGAGGGGTTGGGTCAATTGGTGTGAGGGGTTCCTGGGCATTGTGGGAAGTTGGGCCACAGCCATCCCTGACACTCCCCAAGTAGGACCACCCCCAAGCCATGGCCAGCTGAGAACCACTGTTTAATCTGAGTGAGCATAGCTGGCTTCGGCTGCCGTATAGGACTTGGGACAAGTCACGTGGCTTTTGAGCCCCAAACACCCTCTCGGTAGGAGCTGACTGACAACAGAAACCGCAGAAAGCCAGTGTCGGTTACCACACTCGGTCTTTCTGATACGACTCAACCGCATACGGTGAAAACTGTTGTTGCGGAGCCCTGCCCAGTTGATCTGACTCACAGAGACCCTGCATACGGTTTCCATGGAGCAGCTGGTGGGTTTGAACCGCCCACAGTGCCACCCCAGGACTCCCATAAAAACCTATCACAACCCGGAAATGCTAATTCTGGTGATGATGCGGAGAGGTAGGCGCTCTGGCCTGGCAGAAAGGAGACGTGTCGGCGCAGAGGGTGAAACACTGTGCTGCTATTGTGAAGGTGGGCAGTTCAAACTCAGCAGTCGCTCTATGTTAGAAAGATGAGTCTGGCAGTCCGCTTCGGTAAAGATGCCCCGTAGGGCAAAAGTCAACCCTGTCAGAGAGGGAACCTGAATCCACACAACAACAATGGGCTTGGCACCTTCTAAAACCTGGAATCCTGCCTTGGGGAATCTAGTCTAAAGAAGTGATCTGAACACAGGGAAAGTTTTTTGTAACAAGAAAACTCAACGCATGAAACAGTCCAGAATGAGGGAAACTTGACACATGATATAGTCCAGAATGAGGAAAACTCGATGCATGAAACAGTTAGTGCAGAATGAAGAAAAGTCAACGCATGAAGTAGTCCAGAAGGAAGACAACATGACGCATGAAACAGTCCAGAGGACTAATGGGTCATATGAACCCCAACTTCCATGACTCTGAGAACTAGAACTAGATGGTGCCTGGTTACCATTATCAGCCGGTCTGGAAGGGGTCATGATACAAGGTCCTGGGTAGAGTGGGAGAAAATGTGGAACAAAACTCAAAATCATAAAGAAGGCCAACTCGAAGTGGTCTGATAGCGGTGAAACCCCGAGGCTATGGCCCTTAGGCACCTGACAGGCCTGGAGCTGAACCCACCCCGTGGCTCAAATTTCAACTGAACGACAGGCCTATAAGGTGAACGGTGTTGTTAAATGCCGTAAAATTGGTTCCGACTCAGAGTGATCCTGTTCAGGGTTTCTGAGGAGCGGCTGTTGAATTTGAAACACCAACCTGGTAGTTCAAACAACCCAGCAGTCCTGTGCTTATCTGAATTGCACAGGCTTTAGAACAGTCAGCCCACACGACATCAGAAGGGCAGCATTTTGCCCAGGAGAAAGGTCAGGAAGGGAGATGGAAGCTATGGAGGAAGCGAGTGGAGCGCTGTATACACGTGGGGGCAGCGTCAGTGCCACGAACACAGCGTAACTGGATTATTGGATGGAAAGCCAGTCTGCTCTGTAAACGTCCATCCAGGTCACAATTAAAAAAAAGAAAAGGGGTTGTTTACCTAGGACTGCTCTCCGACCCCTGGACGTAGGAAAAAGACAGATGAGCATTCACTCATTCAAGAAGTCTGGCACCTGCTCCAGGCCAGAGCCTGTGTGGGGGGTCCTGGTGGTAAGCATGAGTGAGCCTCAGAAGTCCCTATTGGACAGCCTCTGTGAGCCAGACCAAGACATGAATGGTCACCACCCTTGGTGACATGTGCAGCTCAGAGCGGTCAGAACAACCCCTCCACCTACCCTGAGTGTCACAAAGCCAGTGAGTCCCAGTTCACACTCTTTCCCATCTGTCCCCAGGCCTTAAAGAAGGACGAGGGCGTGCCCTGGACTGGGATGCTGGCCATCGTGCACTCCTACGTCACCCACAAGACAGGTAAGTTGGCACCGGGACTGGCCCAGGGTGCGGGAAGAAACTCAAGGCCCTGTGCATGTGGCCACAGCCACCGTTCCCACCACAAGTGGGGCCAGGCCCCGTCTCAGGCCCTCCTCCTCCTGCCCCTCCGGCTCTCCAGCGGTCAGCCTGGCTCACCGGCCCTTCTTGGGGGCGGCTTCTCTTGTGCAGTCAAAGAAGAGGAGAAGCAGAAGCTGCTGCAGAGAGGAAGCACACTGCAGAGTGAGCACCGGCAGCTGGAGGACAGGGACCGCCGCCTGGCCTCGGCCGTGAAGGTGCGCGGGGCGGGCGGGCCCTGCTCTACACAGCCAGGTGTACGCCGTACGCCAAGTGCTAACTTGTCCCGGCTCTGGAGCCTAGGGAAGAAGGCAGACTCACCGAGGATCGAGGATTGGTCAGAGAAGCAGTAATGGGACCCATCAGAAACCTCTCTCTTAAGGAAGGGAGAGAGGCCTGGCCCGGCTCCTTCTCAGCTCTGTCCCCTTGTCAAGAACCTGACCCTCTCTGAGTGTAAACGGAAGAGAGTTGTTCCTCCTCCGGAGGGCGGGACGATGGTGGTGGTGGTGATGTCATGGTAGTGGAAATGGTGGTGGTAGTGGGGACTGGTGGTGCTGATGATGGTGGTGGTGGTGATGATGGTGATGGTCGTGGTGGTGTTAGCAATGGTCATGGTGGTGGTAATGATGGTGGTGGTGGTGATATCATGGTAGTGGAAATGGTGGTGGTAATTTGTGGTGTAATGACAGTGGCGATTGTGGTACTGATGGTGGTGGTGATGGTCATGCATGGTGGTGGTACTGGTGTTGGTGATAACGATGTGACTGGTGATGATGATGGTGATGGTCATGGTGGTAGAAATCGTGGTGGTGGAGATGGTAATGGTGGCTGTGGTGGTACTGGTGATGCTGGGGATGGTGATTAGGATTCTAACAGCAGGGCCAGGCCGTAGCAAAGTTCTTTAAATTCAGTGTCTCATTCCATCCTCAGTGAGCCTCAGAGAGAGGCTCTGTGGTTATCTATGACTTAGAGCTACAGCAACAGCCTCAAAGCACATGTGCCCAGCTCTAACTGGGGCCTTCAGTGCTTACTGCTTCCCTGGATTGCCAGAGGCAGGAAAAGGATAGGAACATAAAGGCACCATGGAAGGTGAGAGTGGAGATGTATCCAGCAATTGAAAGGATTTCCTGGCTGCTGGCTCAGCCTGATTTTTGGGAGCCCTTCACCTGGTTTTTCACCATGTGGGCTGGACCAAGGGGCTGGCTGCCAGCACTTGAACTCTAACACTGTTCTCTCTGCACTCTCTCCCTCCCCCCGCCCCCAACAGAAATGTCTGGAACTCAAGACCAGCCTGCTGGCCCGGCAGAGGGGCACTCAGTCGTCCCTGGAGCGTCTGCGGGCCCTGCTGAGACTCATACGGGGTGAGCAGATGCTGCAGGTCACCATGACGACCACCAGCCCTGCCCCACTGCTGGCGGGGCCCTGGACCAAGTCCTCTGCTGCAGCCATGCACTCTGCCTTCCAGCAGCCCCAGGGGCACAACTGACCCCAGGGACCAGCTTCACAGCCTCCGGAAGTTCCTCACATGCTGGGGTTCTGTCGGCCTTAATTCATATCACTATGAACTTCAGACAAAGCAAACCAGACAGACAGGAGAAGAAGGGGGACGAGCTGGGCCGGGGCCCCAGCGTCGGGACTGGACAGTGGTGGCGATGACAGGTGACAGCGCTCTACTCCCCACGCGATTCCCCAAAGCCAGCTGAGAAGAGGCAGGCTCAGGGCACACCGTGATTGCCCCCCAGATACAGCGGGGCTGCCTCGGCTTGTGGCTTCCAGTCCTCGGTCTCTCCCCAGCCTCAAACTGCCTCCAAGAGACACAGAGGTTGTGGGGAGGGCCACGAAGACCCCAGGGCTGGTGTCTCTGGGACATCCTGCCAGCGGGAGTTCGAAAGACACAGACATAGCCAAGTAGTAGGACTAGTTGGGTTTGTGGCTGTTGGGATGAGAAATGGGTAGCGAGCTCTAGGTAGGAATTGGATGCCCCCCGCCCCCCCGTCCTCAGGGCCACCACACTCACAGGTGCCCACCTGGTGCCAGGGTCCAAGCTTACTCCCCCCTTGCCGGACGCCCAGGCCCTCTGTCAGTATTATGAGATCGCAGCAATACAGCTGTTAAACTTGAACTCGGCACCCCAAGTCTCGGAGCTCTCAGGCACCCACCCCTCCCTCCTTCCTCTGGCCAGCTGCTGGGACTCGTTTCGACTCTCAATGTCTTTTCCTTGTGGAGTGTTCAGGCCAGATGGAGCAGAAACCACGCAGGGCAGGCAGTTGGCAGGTTTCCTGTTTGGGGTTGCCACACCCCACACGGAGGGAGCCTTTCACGGCCTCTTCTCTAAGACCCCATAAATATCCCACTCCTCTTTTCTTACCAGTACAGACACTATGCCAAAAAATAACTTTACATTTTTGTATGGTGTTTTTATTGTAAGATATTTAATGTGAAAAAGGTAGGGAGGGTATTTGCTGACTTTTTTTTTCCTGCTTATAGAAATCTCTGCTTCAAGGTAAAAGTGAAGACACCTCCCCTTTTGGGAGCCTGTCAACCCGGGGAGAGAGAGAGCCAGTTTTGTTTTGTGTTATTTTAATAACTGGGTGGAGGTTTGGGAGGCAGGAATAAAAGCGGTGGTGGCCCCTGGAAGGTTTGGCCTTTGGGGAGTCTTGAGCCCTTCACTTATCGCTTTTTGTGGGTCCCTCAGTCGGCCAGGAGCCCAAGGGGCCCGCATGCCAACTTGCAAAAGCTGCTGAGTTTCCAGGGTGGATTTTGCCGGGCACAACCACCCAGTCGCTTCTTTGGTTCCAAGAAACGTAGCACATGAAGACAAGCATCCAGGAGCCGTAGGGCTCCCACCCACGAGCCCCTCTCACACAGTGCATCGAACACGCACACACGTGTGCACACAGCGGCCACAACCACACGCTCAGACGGGGTGTAGAGCAAGGGGACTGACCAGCCCACCACAGCCCTGCCTGTCATTTCACGATTCCGGGAAAACTGTGCTGTACGATACAGATCTATTTTAATACACTCAACACTGGGTTGAACAAGATTTTTATATTCTTTTATTGACGAGCAAAGTAAGCTGAGTGGGGCCCACGTCTTCTGTGTCGCTTACCCGGGGCTGAATATGCCTCTCCGCGCCGCCTCACCTGCGTCTTCAGGTCCCTTGTCTGTTCTTCTGTTTTTTTTCTTCTCGGATGGATGGAAGCCCAAACTTAAAATATATCAATAAAAAGTCACAGGAGGGAAGGAAAGCATGGATACGGGAGGGGTAGCTGCCGATATGTCTCAAGACTTGTTAGTTTATTTTGGACTGAGGACCGTCAGTGGGTAGTGAGAATAGAGGGAAAGTCTTTGTCTTAAATTTGCCAATGTAGTTTTGCCTTCTGTACGACGCATTAAAGACGATGGATGATTTCAAAGCCCTGTGGGTCTCGTCTCCTTGCCTGCAGGGGTGTATCCCTGGGGAGGCAGGGGTGGAGGCAGTAGGTGGGCACCCAGAGTACCAAAAGAGATCAACCAACCTATCAAGTCGATTGTGACTCATGGCGACCCCTTGTGTAAACTGCTCCATAGACTCATGGCTGTCATCTTGGTGCCAGACCTTTCTCCCACAGCCCTGATGGGTGGGATCAAACTGCCAACTTTCAGGTTAGCACCCACTGCCATTGAGCTGATTTGGACTCAGAACAAATTTATAGGACAGAATAGAGTTGCACCTTAAGGTTTCCCAAACTGTCAGTCTTTACAGCAACAGGCAGCCTCATCTTTCTTCTGGTGGGTTTGAACTGCTGACCTTGCCGTTAACAGCCCAGCACTTTAAACACACTGCCACCAGGACTGGAGTAGACTATTTGAGCACTCGACAAGAGGCCAAATGCCAGACTTCTGCTAGTTGAAGGAAGAAAGCAAGAGAGGAGCAAACACAGGATCGAGGGTGGCAAGAAGCAAATCCGAGTCTGCGGCTGGAGGGAGCCCCAGCACAGTGCGCAGCTCCCTTAGCTGTTTCTGCTGCACGAGGTCCCACGAGCCCTGCGGGTCACACCTTGCTTGGCCTTGGACAGGAAGAGGTCACACACTTTGTCTACATTTCAAACCAGGAGCGGAGGGGCTAGGTGCCCATCCTCAGGCCTATCAGCTGTGGCCAGAGTAAGAGCAGGTACCAAATGTCTGTGCTGGCTCCACAAAGAGTTGTGAAGGTTGGCTGTCCATGTCACAGTGGAGAAAGCTTCAGGTTCCAGGAAGATATCCCCGTGCATAGGATCTCCCAAGAAACAGCTAATAGAACACACACACTTGGTTATAGAAGCTGGCAAAGCTGAAATCTACAGGTGGTGGCCTGGAGTTGGCAGTACAGCTGTGAGTCTGACACTTTGAAGGGAGGCGGAAGGGTGGAAACCTCGGCAGGATGGCTTTGTCTAGAGGCAGAATTCCTTCTCGGACCTTCTGTTTTTGCTTTGGGAACTTTCAACGGATTGGACAAGGCCCACCCACAATCTCAAGGGCAAATACCTTTCTTACAGCTAGTAAAGGTGAGTCACATCTATAAAATACCTTCATGACAACATCCAGACTGGTGTCTGACCAAATAACCCTGGTGCCAGAGCCTAGCTCAGCGGATGCACAATGAACACAGGGTTATACATTTGTGGGGATGGAGGCAGAGTTCAAGTCTGCCCCCTCTCACCTACCCCTGCCTCCCTCCTAGTGGCCACCGGTGACTCCAGAGCCCCTTGAGGGGGCCATGGCAGCCCCCAACCCTCTTGCTGGTGAGCCTCTAGGACCACCTTGACCGTTTGCTCCACGGGACCTGCTCTGTCCCTGGGCCACCGATGACCACACACGTGCGTTTCCTGTCATCTGGACTCTCGAGTCCTGTGACACATCCATCCACGCCCCCCATGTGAGGATGTCCCGGGACCCCCAGTTCCTGGGTGTCTTCACCCGCCCTGCCCCTCCCATTGAAGGGTTTTATCAACTCAGCCAAAGTTCTATGTGTTCCACCCTCTTCTGCTACCTCCCTGACCCCAGGAACCACCCTGCCTCCTCTCTCCCACTCTTCACCGGGGCCATCGGCCAATCTATCAGAGTATATGAAGCATGTGACTGTCACATCCAGACCCGACACCACATCGGTCCTGTCACCTGGCCTCCATCCTGCTCCCCTGCTGACCTCTCGTCCCAGCATCTCCTACTTCCTCTGTTTCTGTGGAATCTATTCTGTGTCCCACATGTGCAGAGGAGAATTGCTTCACAGGGTTTCCAAGCCGGGGAAAGATTGCCATGTCTTTGTTCCGAGGCACCTCCGGGCAGGATTCCTTTCTGATGGTGGTCAGATAGTTAGCCATTTGCGATACCCAGGAACTCCCAACAACTACCAATGATGTCAGCCTGTGAGGTCACTCCCCACCAACCCTGTGGAAGTCCTTTCAAGGTCCTCCAAGCCCCAAGGCTAGTTACGTGCTGGGGCCCCAGGGCTCCCTCTCCTCTCCACGTTCATCTCTGTGGCAGCCCCCTGGCCTCTGTCCATGTGCTCCCCCTGACCTGCCAAGCTCTCTGCCTGGGTGGATTGCTGTCCCTCCATTCATCGCTGACAGACATGCTGTCAGAGGGGACTAGCCCACAGCCCTTCTCAGAGCAGCTTCCTGGTCACCTGGCTGAGACTTCACACTCCCCATCTCCTTGCTCTGACTCCTCACACTTGTCACACCTGGAGGTGTCTTCTTGTCTGTCCCCAGTGAGACATACAGCTCCTTGAATCCATGAAGGCAGGGGTGTGTTCACCCATCTAAAGCTGAGGGCTGTCCTGGCACAGGTTCCTCGGGATGCTGCCGGTGGGGCGAGGGGTACGGGGTCTGCGCAATGGGGCACCCAGTTTCCAGTGCGCTGTAGCTCTGGTAGCACAGTGGTGAAAGCAGTCAGCTGCTCATTGAAAAGTCAGAGGTTCAAACCTTAAGGGAGAAAGCTGTGGCCTCTGCTCTTGTAAAGATGACAGCCTCGGAAACCCTACGGGGGCGGGGGTGGGGTGGGCAGGTTCTGCTCTGTCCTTGAGGGTTGCTGGGAGTTGGAATTGACTTGACAGCAATGAGTTATTGCAGTGGTCAGAGCTGGCCCGTGGGCGTCTTCCCTGGGAGGCATACAGGTGGGAAAATGCAAGTGGACAGGGATGCTTTGGGGGGTGGGTTCTGGCCCCAGTCTGGAGGTGGATCAGTTACCCCCAGACACCACAAGGGATTTGAGACAAGGACTGGGAGGACTTTGAGCCCCACATAGCAGCTGTGTGGTCTTGGCAGCTCCGTCTTTTCCTAGACCTCATCCTCTTTGCACAAGGCTATTGCTCAGAATGCCCTGCAGCTCCTGACACCTGGGACCCCCCCCTGTTTCTGGTGTTTTCTATCCACCACACACTGCCCTTCCCTATCAGCTTTTCTGAATGCCACCTGAGGTCCCCAAGGGCTCCCCAGGCCTATCAAGTAGATGAGAGACTGTCAGCAGCTGTCTCCCCTTGCCCCACCCACCTACTTGCCCAATGTGCATGTGTGTGTGTGTGGGGGGGGAGACGCTCATTCAGTCACAAAGCACCAGGGCTGACTGTGGCTGCTCTTCCTTGTACTGGT